ATTATCCTATACAGACAACATTGTACTTCAAGACAGATCTTTAAATGCTCTTTTGACAAAGAATGCTATAGCTTGATTAAAAATAAAAAATAAAAAAGCTAAATATAACACTATGATCAAATTAATTAAAATTAGAATTTTATTATTTAAAAATGGACTAGACATGGTAATAATGACTGATAAAATGACCTTACTGTCAAAAGAGTGAACCCAGAAAACAAAACATATCTTTAAGTAGAAGATTTGGAATTTGTGGCTAAAAAGAAAAAGAAAAAAGATATTGAGTTTCTCAATTGTCCATAATGTAAGGAAACAGTATATATATTTTTTCTTATATGGGTGCATTTCAATATTATTTCACAATTGTTGTTGTTGTTAAGTACCATGGAGTTGGTTCTGACTCATAGTGTCCCTGCACAGGGTTTCCGAGGCTACAAATCTTTACAGGAGCAGAAAGCCTCATCTTTGTCCCATGGAACAGCTGGTAGTTTCGAACTGCCAATCTTGAGGTTAGCAGCCCGATTCATAACCACTACGCTACCAGAGCTCCTTTTATTCTAAAATACTAGTCATTTTATGTTAATGGTTATAAGGGTCCATTCATGATTCTATTTGAAAATGTTCACATGTGCCCACACTTTATTACATCTCTTCAAATGCGGTACAATTTAAGCAGTTCTAAAATGCAGTCTCTGCCAACGATAAGTAAAAAACGAGTGGAAAATGTTTACGCATTTAAAAAATTTTATTTTCAGACTGTATAATAAAAGTTTTCCATTACTGGAAGGAAATAATACAAAATCAGCAAAGCTTATACATTAGTAGTGAAGTGTCCTTCCAGTTTCAATGCGATATGCCCTTTTTGTGTATTTGATTTCAAAACCAAATTTCATTTTGTGTCTAATAATTATAGTAAAATGAAGTGTTTCATATCATCTAAGAATGAAAATTATTACCACTACAGGAAGGCAACAGTCATTAAATAAATTAAAAGCATCTTTAAAGTTTTTCCATATACATATATAATATATATTTTTTTAATTGCCATTTACTGTACAAGAATTAAATTCTCAACTAACACATTTACAGAAACTAGTAGAAAGTTGAAGAAAAGCCTTGTTTTTTGTTTTTTATAAAAGGAATCCTTTATCTATAGGTTACATTAAAGTACAATTCTCATGGGATAAAATCTATACAGAGAAATCAGACCTATCCAAGATGTCTTATTTAATTTTACAAAAGCAGGTGTTCATGGCTATAGTCTAACCCAAACTTGATTTATCAAGAAGTCAAAGTCCATACATTAATTACTTGTTAGAACAGAGAAAAGTGAAAGCAGAAAAACTACACTGAGTAATGTAATTATATAGAAACATTTTATAAATCAGACTAATAATAGCATTACACATATATGATTGCCTATGAAAATATTAAATGGCCAATATGAGCTTTATTCAGAAATATTAAGATATCTTAATGAATAAATGATTATTAGTTAATATAAAGCTAGATGAATGTAAAAAAGTATCTGGTTTATTGTAGTCCTGAGATCTGAGGAATCTAAGCTTCCAGTTTAAGTTTTATGACCCCCAGATCTAGTAAATTATGTATTTACACAGGTTACAGTAAAACATATTAAAAATACTGTATTGATATTGGCAGTCCCTGAATTTGAATTCAAGAGAACAGGTATTGGGAAAAAAAATCACTTTTAAAATGATGACTGTGCTTTTTTTTTGTCTTTTGGGGGTCCCACATCTGGTGACTGGATAGAGGGCAGAGGTGGGAGAAAGACAAATGCATGATTTAGTAAACAGCAATTACATGTGTAGTTTCTTTTCTCATCAGTGTAAGTTTAATATCATGAGACTTCTAGAACTTATATCTAAGGATTATAGAGGCAAGCACCTACAGAATTATTAAATAGGCATTTATTCAATATTCTAATGATATAAAATAAATTTATCAGATTAGAAAGTTAGCTCATTTACTTCAACTCCTTTTTCCTTTGGAAATAAAGCCTTTCTTATTTATGTAGTGGATTACAAAAACTAGACTGCTAACTACAAGGTCAGCAGTTTTAATCTACCATTATTAGCTTCTCAGGAGAAAGATGAGGCTTTCTGCTCCCATAAAGATTTAGTCTCAGAAACCCTATACAGGGTTGCTATGAGTTGGAACCTACTTGATGGCACACAGCCACCGCCACCACCATGTCCTCAATGTGGTAAGGAAATGACTGATACAAGGTCATCCAGAAACAACCACTGGCTAAAAAAAAAAAAACATTTCAATTGCTAAGAGACTATCTAAGCTTTTTCACTGTGCTACAATTTCATCATATCAATTCATACTTAAAATAAAATCCTCATTAGGAGGTATGGGGACATTTTTTATTAGAGGTTTTGGGTATCATTGTAGGATTTAACCTATAGTAAATGAGCATTGATTCAAATTAAGAAAGATAAGAAATAGCTTTTAATGAGACTAAGACTCACTGTTGGATATACTAGAGGTTATGACTGAACCACCTTTAGCAAAAACCTAATTATGGTCATCAAACCTACTAATGAAAAAGAAGTGTGCGTTACTGAAATACACTATGACCGGAATACAGTAGCTATGCTCTGTCTGCTTCTCTTACATACTTTTGTTTTAAAGTTTTGATAAGATTTTTTAAGCATTATTTTATCATTCACTTCATTTTAATCCTTAATTTTATGCTGTCAGGAAAAAAGTGAACTATAAGAATCCATGAAGACTCAGGCACCACAAAAATGGTGGAGTAGTTAATCTTTTAATCCAGAAACAGAGGACCCTAGGACCATCAAGGAAGAATAGCACAAGTGGAATGTGGGACCTTATCCAGAGAAGCAGCCACACCAGAGATGGAGGCAGAGATGGGGAACTAGAGAGAGGGGGCAGCTGAGGACTCTAGATTTATGGGAAGAGAGGGACTGAGAGCGGGAGGCCAGGAGGCAGACTTGCAGAATGTGTGCTTTACTGGTGTAAATTATTATATATGCCTGATTGTTTTAAAAAAAAAAAAAAAGGAGCTAAAATGAATAGAGAGAAATACTGTTAGCTGATGGTACATGGAGGGGATTATAATCATTGTAATGAAAAAAAGTATATGATTTGTTGAATGTAAAACTGATGATCTGCCCTGTAAACTTTCACTCAATTCACAATAAAAACTTCAAAACAAAACAAAAACTCAGTCACCAGAACAGAATGCATTATGTTTCCTTTCATTTACAGGATTAACACACTTCCACACCAAACTGTGGAAGTGTGTTAATAACTTTTTTCCAGGCTCAATCTAATAACTTTTTTCCAGGCTCAATCTTCTTTTGAGGAGTTTTCAGTACTATAAAAATACATATTAAACTGCAGTGAATGGTGTATTCTTATACCAAGCACTGCAATATTGGATGTGCCTGCATTTGGTTTATGAACAGAGATACTTGCAGCATTTTCAGATCTATCACTACCACCGCTTTAAGGAAGGTTTATATAAGAAAAACTAGTATTATTAACCCAAACTTTCAGTGCCTGAAGAAGCCTTAGAGCTCAATTTAGTCTCCTCATTTTGACAGTGAAGGCAGTTACCACAGAGCCGTTCACAAAATAATACTCAATAAATATTATTAAATGACTGAACTGCCAGAGATAGTTACAGACAGAGACAGGACACAACCTCTTGTCTTTTGGTACATTACAGCCTCTGAAATGGTATAGTTGGCTTTAATCATCAGATGGAACTGAGCTAAGATTGAGGTTAACCATAATGAGAGCATCAAAATATGTATGCAAACAAAATTGGAAAGTAAAAGTGTGTCTCTATATTTAGTTCTGTTTTCTGGTGGATAATTTTCAATGTGTTTTTCTAAAGTCTAGATTCTGTGACTATTTCAAAAGCCCTGACTTATGTGAAAACAATAAATGGACTTGAATGTGGCTAAAGAATGTGACTGAGATTAAATTAGTCAATTAAGGAAATCTCTAATATCCCAGCAGATATTTTTTAAACTTGACAGTTATTGATAACTTTACAGGATGTAAAGTCATACCAAGAGAATTGAAACATTAATGGACTCAGGAAGAATTTTTGGATTCAACTTAGAAGAGCAAATGGAAGTACATGTAGGTTAAAAAAAAAAAAAGTATAGGAGAGGAATTACACCTGGGATTTTGAACATTGGATTGCTGGTTTCTTTTTTCTGAGAGGGAAAGAAATGTAAACAACTGTATTCCCAATTATAATACTGGGGGTGGAATGGTAACTCTCTGTATAGGCTCTTGAATCACTCTGACACTTTTGGCAAAGTTCTCATAATCTAATGGTGCTTTCCAGCACATGAAATGAAATAAAAATGAATCCTGTGCAGATTGAATTCATAATCCATGTTAAACAAGCTTTCCTAGAGAGGGCATAAGCACATGGCTCATGCATACACATACATGTACACTTAACACACAGCACACATTCTCTGCTCAACTATCAGTCATTGACAGGTGGAGGAAAAGATGGTTAAACAAAATTCTCAAAACTTTCAAGATCAACATCCGAGTCAATTGAATTTTTGAACACTTGCTTAATTGCTCAGGAATCTAAGGCAATCAGCCTACTTCCAAATATGAAATTACTTTTAATTTCCCTTTAGTTGTTGGATAACTGGAGACGAAGGATCAACTATTGCTGTTTTCCAGATCTGTTTTCAAAGCCCATTACAAAAATAAATCAGTGTGCTCTCTAGCAGTTCTAAAATCAGTTCAAGTGATCACTTTTTTGTGTGTGTTTAAACAAAGAAATAATTATCCGTATTTAGTAAAATCTTGCTTTCAGTTACATTCAGAAAAATAAGAAGTATAGTCCAGTTCTTCTTGGTCGAAATCTTCAGTCTATTTCTCATTTGCTTTTGACTATATATAAAAAAAATTTTTTTGAAACAAAATGCATTGGCAGTGCAAAAAAAAAAAAAAAATCCATAAAAATGATTGATTTAAGCATTCACATGAGTTCTCGGAGAGGTTATCTGCAAGCACAAGACTCTACTGTCATATTGGGATATACTTTAAGCACCACATTCTTATTCTCATCAAAGAATAAGATACTGAGTGAGGACATCTTTTCCGGCACACAGCAAGGCTCAGGAATCCCAGGAACGACACCCACAGCTCTCACTATACTCTGGATGGTAGCATGATTTGACGGCTTCAAAGACTAGAAACAGAAACAGGAAAAGGACATATATATTAAATGGAACTACATTTCTACTCCTCACCCTTCAATACATAAAATACTTAAGTCATAAATTAGTTAAAAACACTTATCAGTCATTTCATCCGTTACATAGTCAACCTAGTTTCCTACTCTGTGACTACCAAAATGGTTTGTTTTTAAATGCTGGCTGTACACCAGGCATGTTACATGTTGTACTCCAAATTCTTGTGACAAAATAACCACTCTTTACAATTTACAAGTAAGGAAATGGACTCAAAAACTTCCGTGACATGTCTAAGTTCAAATAGCTAGTAAGCAACAGAGTGAAAAATGTGAACTCAGGTCTCTACTAAGAAATAATTTAATTACAAACAATGTATTTTATTCAGAACTAATCAGGGGGACTAATATAACCTAAATGTTTTCAATAACAGGATATTGTTGAAAATTATTTGTTCTTGACCCTATTAATTATATTAATTATAAAACTACAACCTAAACCAAACTTACTGCTATTGATTCACTTCTGCCTCATAGAGGCCCCATCTAAGGTTTCCAAGGCTGTAAATCTCAGCCCAGAAAGTCTTATCTTTCTCCTGAAGAGCAGCTGTTGGGTTTGAACTGCTAACCTTGTGGTTAACATTCCACTGATTATCTTACAGCACCACCAGGGCTCCTTGTTAATTGCAAGGCACCCTGTTAATGAAGGTATTTGAATACTGTTGTTATAGTGATAGCTATGTTTTGTCATTTAAAAAAAATCAAGTAGGTCAGAGGGTATTGATTTGTTCAATATTTGCCAAGGGATGAACTGGATGATGTTTCTTCCACTATGTAATTATTTAATGCAGAAGTGCAAACTGAGGTTAAGAAGACCACACCATTGGCCACTGGGGGTCACTATTGCTCCATGGGTTTGTACTAAACTTGGTAGCATTTAGTGCTGAGTAGATCAAATCTCCTGGGAATAACCTAAAGGGCCCAAGATTATTCCACAAATGTCAGAAGTTTGACCAAAGAAGTCTGGGTAAAATTTTGGGGAAAAAAATTGCCAAACTGGACCATTAAGATCCATGTGACACACATGGTTTTATTTTAAAAAGTCTTACATAGCTCCGATCTACCTAAAAGCACTGCAAGCCCCGAATATTCAGGTATTACAAACAGGGATGTCAGTTTGAGGACTAAGGTGCACCTGACCCAAGCCTCATATGCATGCAAAAGCTGGACAGTGAATAAGGAAGACCGTAGAAGAATTGATGCTTTTGAGTTATGGTGTTGGAGGAAAATATTGAAAGTGCCATGGGCTGCCAAAAGAACCAACACATCTGTGTTGGAAGAAGTGCAGCCAGAGTGCTCCTTGGAGGCCAGGATGACTTCATCTCTCATATTTCAGACATATTGTCAGGAGGAACCAATCACTGGAGAAGGATATCATGTTTGGTAAGGTGGAGGGTCAGAGAAAAAGAGGAAGACCTCCAGAGAGATGGATTGGCAAAGTGGCAGCATCACTGGGCTCAAGCAAGGCAACAATCGTGAAGTTGGCCCAGGATCCGGCAGTGTTTCGTTCTGTTGTGCATAGGGTTGCTATGAGTCGGTACTGACTTGATGGCACCTAAAAACAACAACAACAAACAGGGATAAGAACATGTTGTTGCTGTTGTTAACTGCCATAAAATTGGATCCCACTCATAGAGACTCTGTATAGGGTTTCCAAGGTGCAGTTGGTGGGTTTGAACTGCTGAACTTGTGGTTTGTAGTCTAGCACTTGTCCTACAGCATGACAACATATCCCTTATTAGCAGTGTAGGATAAGTACTAGACTGCTAATCATGCTAACCTGCTAACCCCAAGGTGGGCAGTTCAAACTTACTAGCTGTTCCTCAGAAACCCTATACAGGGTTCCTATGAATCAGTACCAACTTGACAGCACTTAACAACAACAACAATAAAAAATTTGTTGTTATTGTTAAGTGCCATTGAGTAGATAAGGACTCATAGTTGTTAAGTGTTGTCCATACCAACTCATAGCAACCTCGTACAGGGTTTCTGAAGCCTTAAATCTTAGCATAAGTTGAAAGCCTCATCTTTCTCCCACAGAGAGGCTGGCTGGTTAGAAACATGGACCTCATAGTTCACAGTTCAGTGCTTATCGTATAGCATCACCATGCACCCAATATATATATACATCTATAGAGACTCCTGGTGTAGCACTGTAGGGTCACCAGTGGACTTCAAACCAAAAAGTTGGCATATATACATATAATGCACTGGACCACAAGGTTGGCTTGATCTGCAAGGTTGGTGGTTCAAACCCAACAGCTGTTCCTCAGAAACCCTAAAAAGAATTGCTAAAAGTTGGTAACCAATTCGACAGCACTTAACAACAACATATATAATATATATTATACATAGTATATACATATATAGAGAGAGAGCCTGAATGATATATCGGCAATAAAACTATTGAAACATATGGTATCTCTCATTAAAATATGTTGTTATTGTTAAGTGCCATGGAGTGGGTTTTTAACAGCAATGTATCTTCCAAGCAGGTGAAATCAGTTTTGTTTAAATTTCTCTAGAACACAGAAGATTATTAGCATCCTTGATATCCACATGTGACTTCAACGGTGGGATTTAGGCTAAAACTTGTTCAATTTCAAGTTGTGGAGACGTATTTGTGATGACCGAGGCACCCCTGCCCCCCAAAATTGGTATTTTAATTTTCTACTTCTAAAACTCCTAGCATCAGAAACTGGAAAAAGTACATGTAAACCAAGGAGCCAAGGGAGAAGACAAGGATATAGAAACTTGAATTTCTTCTTAGAAATAAACAGGAGAAGGGAGGCAAACTTGATTTCTTTCACCTTCTCTTTCAATTTTGGTGAAATGACATGTCATTTCACCAAAATTGAAAGAGAAGGTGAAAGAAATATATATGTAAGTCCTCAACATTATTCGTCATAGACATAAATCACCAAAAATTAGTTTTAATGATTGACAACTGCTTTCACTTTTTCATTTTAAATACTTTATTTGCTAAAAGGAATACTTAACTTTCAATTAATTAAATTTGTAAAGTAGAGCATATTCCTCTTACAGGAAGAAAGTCTAGTCTACAAAGCATGTGTCCTATACCACCCATAAAATGTGTGCAATTTAACTACAATTAATATTGTAAAATAGAGCCTAAAGTAGCCCATCAATTATTTTATCAGTGTTCCTGGGTGGAGGTTTGGGCCCAAAGGCACCTTGGAAGAACAGCCTGGAAATCTACTTCCAAAAATGTCCCAGCTGTAAACACCCTGTGCAGTGAACTTCTATTCTGCTACACATGGAGACACTGTGAATCAGAATCAGGAACTGATTTTCTGCTTTGTTTTTGCTTTTATTTTGGTTGTTTTGTTAATACATTTTATTTCTAAAGAAAGTTTTTATGGTCATTCAATTTTCTCTAATGAATACTCTCAGTTTTTTCAATATTTCTCTATTTTGATTTGAAATAATTCTCTAGACTTATTAATCTAAGAAATTTAGTGCACTGTCCAAAATGTTGTTAAGTGCTGTTGAGTCAGTTCCAAATCATAGCGACCTTGCATAGGGTTTCTGAGGTGTAGCTCGTGGGTTTGAACTGCTGACCTTGTGGTTCAAAGTCCAGTGCTGATCCTCTTTTTTTTTTTTTTTTATCATAGGTTTTATAATACAATTCTTCTATTGGTGTAGCACTGTGGGTTGATGAGTTGGACTGCAGAATCGGTTTGAACCGCAAGGTTGGAGGTTCAAACTTACCAGCTGCTCCTTGGAAACTTTATGCCAGGTCACTATGAGTCAGAATTGACTCAATGGTACTTAACAACAGTAATAATTGTTGGAGTCTTAGTGTGGTTCTGTAGGATAAGTACTCCACCACAAGTTTGGTTTGAATTGCAACGTCAGCTGTTCAAACTTACCAGCTACTCATTGGAAACCCTATACAGGGTTGCTATGAGTCACAGTCCATTTGACGGCACTCAACAATAACAACATAATATTAAACTTTATACAAAGAGGATCTATTTCATTAGATGAAGCCATAAGTGATAAATACTACCATGCATTAGAATTTCCTGGAGTCAAGAGCAGTGTACACGCTAGGCACTGTGTATGTACTTTAGAATAATTAAATAATTATAAGAAATTGCATCCATTTTACCTATTTCTGTGGAAATAATTCCCCATCAACAAAAATAGAAGGTTCTGTTCCAATGACCAACATAGATAGGAAACTATTCACGGTGTTTCCTAGGAAAATTCCTGTCCTTTTTGTTTTTAAAGCTCCAACTCAGAAATGATAGATTCAGAAACTATGAGTAGTCTCTGTTGGCCTGACAGGAATTCAGGCACAAGCCCTTGATTCTGGGGTGGTGTGTTTTATCAGAGATCGCTCAGTTTTACAGGGAGTTCCCCCCACTTTTTTTTTCCCCCAACAGTGGAGTCCTCTGATCAAGTTGACATTATCAGAAAAAATTATGTCATGCACAAAAGATCCTTGCAGTAATTAACTGGTTTGAAACATATGTCCAATCCATAATTTATTTATTTTTGACTCAAATCCTGTTATTAATGATTTTCTTCACATAGTACAACACATACATCAATCATAAATGCAAACTTGTATTTCTTTTTCCCTCAGCTGTCTCTCTTTTTATATAGGGTGAAATGTGACTTCAACATCAATTTAGGTAATTTTATGCTTAGGTAACTCTGTATATTAAGGTCCCTGGTTGGTACAAACAGTTTGTGTTTATCTACTAACCTCAAAGTTGGTTTAAACTCAGCCAGAAGTACCATGGAAGAAATGTCTGGCTGAATGCTTAAATAAAGGTTGTAGCCAAGAAAACCCTATGCAGTGGTTCTATTCTGTAATACATGGGGTCACCATGAGTTGGAATTACCTCCACAGCAATGGTGTTTTGGGTTTGAATTTAGTGTATCAATATCCAGTTCTTTTTAGAGAG